TGGAATATCAAGCCCAGAGTAAATGCCAAACTCCAAACTCAGCCAGCTGCTGGTCCCAGTGTGGCCTGGGAGAGTGCTGCTGATGGGCATGCCATTTGATCCACTGTTTCTGAGGTCGACTAGAAGACTCATCTTCATTTTTACACCTTCCTCATTAACAACACCCAGAACGCATACCTAGTATAGATTCTGTTTCCTTTCTTGCTAATTATATCCTCCTCAGTTAAGATTTTTTGAGCATTATTTTCTATAATTTATGTTGGAAAGCCATATAGTTCCTTTTTCTTTTTTTTGAATATAAAATTATTTCAATGTTTATATCTTAATGTTGAATATGCTCAGAAAAAAAAAGAGTCTCCAGGATATCTTGATATTTCCCAACTTCTCCCAGGTTAAGACTAAAGGCTCCATCCCCTTTTCTTTTGAAGTGTCATTCACTTACACAGGGGCTGACCCTCTTGTCCATGAAGGGGCTGTGAGAAGCCCTTACATTAATACTTGTCCTGACTCTCTCTCAGACTGTAGTCCTGCATTGTTAAAGGCGCATTGGATCTTTGGCTTGACTGATTCTTCCTTTCAGTTCTTTATACATCAAACAGAACTCATCCCCACCACCGTGAATCCGTCTCCCTACCCCATCCCACCTTCCTATTTCTGTTACTGTTTCCCCCAGTCTCCCATCCACCCCTCTCCTAAGCATCTCATCCATCACCAAAGCCTATTCAATACTCTTTTTCCTTTTCTTTCTTGCTGCCATGATACTAATATCAGCCCTTCCCCTGTAACTGATCTCTCTGCCGCTGTCTCTTTTCCTCTAATCCATCTTGTCCACAGTATTGCAAAAATAATCTTCTTCAATATCATCTTCCTTGGGTTTTTCGTTTTGCCCATGAACCCTTGATGTCTCCCATCAGCAACAAGATCAAGTCCACTTTGCTTAGCCTTGAAACGCAAGACCTCCAAACTCTGATTCTTAGGATCATCTTTCACTTTTTCCTTATGTGAACTATGCATATGTGTTCATTCCTTTGTTTGTTTGGCATGCTATTACATCCCAACTGGGTGTCCGGCAGTGTTCTGGTTGTTTCTGAAAAGCTGAGCAGAAAAGTCCTTACCAATGCACTTTATGATCCTGGGAGATCATGCTGCTACCTGGAAGGTCCTCCATCTAAACCCTACATTATTTTCCAGGACCTGTTTAAAATTCCTCTGTCCTCCAGAAACCTTTTCTAAGCACCTGGGACCCTCTTTCTAGTCCCTACAGATCTTATTGTCTGAATTAATCATTTGAAACTTAGCAATTATCCATTCAGTTTTCATTCAATCATCAAACACACACTGAACACCTATTGTCTGTCAGGTATTATAATAGGTGTTGTCTTATACGTCATTATATTTTCATAGCATAATAAAAATAACATCAACAACAACACTTATAAAGCTCTTGTCAGGCCAGGGGCCGTGGCTCACACCTGTAATCCCAGCACTTTGGGAGGCCAAGGTGGGCGGATCACCTGTGGTTAGGAGTTTGAGACCAGCCTGGTCAACATGGCAAAACCCCATCTCTACTAAAAATTCAAAATGTAGCCAGGCATGGTGGCACACACCTGTAATCCTAGCTACTCAGAAGGCTGAGGCAGGAGAATCACTTGAATCCGGGAGGCAGAGGTTGCAATAAGCTGAGATCACCCCATTGCACTCCAGCCTGGGTGGCAGAGGGAAACTCCGTCTCAAAGAAAAAAAAAAAAGCTCTTATGTGTAGGCACAAATTTATATACATTAATTAATCCTCAAAATAACCTTTGAGGTAAGCATTATTCAAATTTTATGATAGGAAAATCAAGGCAAAGAGATATTTAACAACTTTCCTAGGGTCACAAGTTAGAAAGTTGCAGAGTTGGAAATCAATTCTTGCTCTGAGGTTCTTGATCTTAACCCCTATGCATCACTGTCAGGTACCAGTATATATGTCAAACATGTGTATGTGTGTGTGTATAAATATAAGCACATGCACACCTTCTCAGCTACACTGAACTCTAGAGGTCAGGGGTCATGTCCCACACTTCCCTGTAGCCCCACTACCTCATTCAATCTATGCATGTGGTAGATATACGAATTGTTTGGATGATTGGTTATTAGTGCTTCCATTCACTCTTGAGGGGCTTGAGATTTTTAGCAGCAAGTAGGAGTGTTTTGAGGTAGAAGGCGGAGAAGCAGAATTTCAAAATAGACCTGGGCATGATGAAATTCTTGGTTTCCAGTTTTTAGCTCTGCAAGCTCTGAGGACAGGTTTGTGCAAGAAAATGTACTGATGTCAAAGCCCTTGAAAGTGGAAGAATATTCTTTTCTCAAAAAGAAAAATAAAACAAACCATATTATGGTTCCATAGTTTCTCCCCCCAATCCTGTTTCCTGTCACACTGATTCATATACATTTTGCTTTATTGCCTATAAAACCAAAGTTTTGACATCAGGGTGACATATGTCCTTTTCTGGCCTAGTATTTCCATCTAGGGTTTTTATAAGTTGAAGAATATCAACATTTTATTTGAGTGGCAATACTGCAACTACATATGTAGTTTAATAAAACCTGATAAGTACATATCTGAGTTTTAAAAACACAGGTGGTGAGTTATTTGCATTTTAAAAGGATTCTTCCCTTTACAAAAGGATCCACTGCAGGGTTCTATTAAATATCCAATTCCCCTTAGTGTATTTACTATACGATTTAATTTACCAAAATTTGATTTATATGCCACTCCAAAGGGGTAGCTCTCAAGTTCTGGTAAGCATAGGAATCACTTGGGCAACTCATTTAAAATTCAGATCTGGCCCCCAACTCCTCCCAAAAATTCTGAATCATTAGGTCTTGGGTGAAACCCAAGATTTTCATTTTTAACGAGCACTTAAGGTGGCTGATGTATATCCTCAGTGAAACACACTTTGGGAAGCACATAAGATAAGGCACAACTGTAGGGGTTTTTATGAGGTTTGAATCCCCTCTTACTACCAGATGTCCTGTTCACTCTTTATCTGGTAAATTGAAAAAATATTTATGTGGATCAAATGACTCTTCATCTCCTTCCTACTCACTTCTTCCTGCAGCTGCCAAACATCTTTAATCTCAGGAGTAAAATGTTTGCCTTTTTTCACCCCCTATTTGACGCTTAGGTAGCTCTTTGGATCATTCTTATTTTTGTTTTCCTCTATCTCTCTCTTTTTTTTTTTTTTTTGAGACAGGGTCTTCCTTTGTCCTTCAGCCTGGAGTGAGATGGTGTGATCATAGCTCACTGCAGCCTCAAACTTCTTGGCTCAAGCAATCCTCCCACCTCAATGCCCACCCAAGTAGCTCGAACTACAGGCATGCAACACCACCCCCAGTGAATTTTTAACTTTTTATTTTGTAGAGACAGAGCTTCGCTATGTTGCCCAGGGTGGTTTTGAACTCCTGGACTCAAGCTATTCTCCTGCCTTGGTGTCCCAAAGTGCTAGGATTACAGGTGTATGCCACTCTTGTGAGGGTCACCTACTGAATTCATACATCTATTCTGTTCCTGTTCCCCTTTCCACATACTCCACCAGGCATTTTTAAGAACAGTTATTTCTGTGGAAGTTTCTCTTAACCAAGTCTAGGGCCTTTTATCTTCTGTTCTTACTATCCCCTTCCCCCACTAAAGACCCAAAATAAATTTTTTGAACAAAACAAATCACAAGAATGACTTGTTTTGTCATGATCTCATTCTTCCATGCATGTTTATCCTGGTCCTAGAGCAACAAACACTGTAACTATTTAAAATATTATTCTAGTTTAATGAAATTTGCTTAAAAAATAGACCCCATGACATTTATGGCATATGTATCTGTGTATTTAATATATCATTGATCTTTTAAAAGTCAGTCACTTGACCTATATTTTGCCTCTGATTACTTTTCTAAATCTCCAGTAATCTCCAAAACCATTTAGAGGTTTCCATACTTTAGAGGGTTTTTTTCCTTTATTAATCCCCAATATCCCTAAATTTTGCTCAGAGTAAAGGTTCTCTGGAGCTATTTGGATATTGTCAAATATCTCCAGTAATAACAGAACCAATACAAGAGCAAATAACTGGCGTAATTGGTTCCTGGTTGAAAATCTTTTCTTTTTTTAAATAGATTTATCAAGGCTTGTGCTCTCCTGAGCCAAGGAGCTCTTAATTTCCCTGTTTGACTTCCATAACCGTATATCCAGAGGCTCTCTTATCTGTTTGCTGGGACTTTGCATACCTTTGATAACCCATTCAGTGCTAGGCTAGACCTCCCTGATCAAGTGGAGGACTTTCTGGGAAAGATGGTGGAGGAGAGGTGGAAGAAGTGATACTGTCCCTGGGCTAAGATGACAGTGATAGAAACAGTTCCAGGTTGTCTGAGCAACGATCGCAAGCAGGAACGTATTTGGTATATTCCATATGATTCAATTTTTGTAGAAAAGACTTATCTAGAGAAAAAAGTTGGATGGTAATCTCTGGAAGGTGGGATTGCCACTGATATTTTTCTTTTTGTTCTGATGACTGTTCCCAAGTTTCTACAGTGACCATGTATTACTATGACAAGCTATTTAAAAGAAAGAAACCTGCTTTACTGGCATCTTAAGTCTGCTTCCCAAGGGACTTAATCTTTAACAGATCTGTCACAAATCCTATCTATGGCATAGAACAACAGTAAAAGGAAAGTTCTCATGATTAGGCCCAGAGCAGTTCCGCAAACACAAGACGGTAAACCAGAAAGCCAGGCTTTCTGCTGAGCAGCAGGAAGGCTGGGCTGTCGGTGTTTGTTGCATGCCCCAGAGTATGTGTGTGTGGAGTCCGTGACATGTGAGCAAATATGTGGCCCCTGACACTCCTTTTCCCACTCGAGAATTAAGAGAAGATTGTATTGCATTTGGGATTTTAACTTTGTCTTCTTTCTTTTTTTCCTTCCCCTTCCCTGCTCCTCTTCCCTTTCTCCCTCTTTCCCTGCCTCAAGGCCTCTCCCACCTCATGATGAGTGAACAAGGTAGGTGCTTTGTGCTTGTGGTCCTGCAGCTGCCCGAATTGCTTGCCTCCGTGTCTCTGGCTGGTCACAGAGCCTCATCGTCACTGGCAGGCCATTTGCTGCCTGTCCTTCCTGCATTGGGCCAGGCTGGCTGCAGGGCCACCCCGCAGTGGGGGTGGGGGCACCTTCCCTGATGCATCGTGGTTTCCCACCCCCATTGTCCCCTTGGCTTCTCCATTCTCCACCGCCATTTGTCATCCTGGGCGCTGGCCCTGCTGGGCTGCATCCGAGAGGGAAGCATGAAACCAGGCATGACGGTGTCGATAATGGGGGTGAATGAAGCTAATTTCAGAGCAACCAAGCGGTTAACTTCCTCCTGCTCCTCCCTAGACCCCTTGCCGGGGCTCCAGGTTTGGGGAGAGGAGCTGGGCTCCTCCCTGAGTTCCCTCTGAGGAACGATTTTCTTTTTGTCTTCCCCTCCATTCCACTGCCCATAATGATCTGCCCTCCATGGTCAAAGGAAACCCTTGGGGGTTTGACTGTTTTCAGTTTTATATAAAAGCAAAAAGCACCTAAAGAACATGCTAATGTCCTCATGGCAGAATTCTAACTCATTATACACCCTGAAGAAAACTGCATATAAAGATCTGTAAATTCAGCATCTGCAACCTAAAATATTCAAATATGCAAGGAATGAACTGGGCAGGAAATTCAGCTCAGCTAAGCACAGGGTGGGCTGTGAATGAAGCCTTTTTCTCCTAAATAAAAATTTTCCACATTATCAGCCTAAATCAGAATTTGAGAGCTGAGCCTACTTAAAATTGTCTTTTCCTTCACAGTTCAATTGCTGCTATTGTGTTTCTTCTGAGCCTCGGGATGATTGCAAGATTGGTCTACCTACCTTGCCCTGTAACCAGAAAAACTATAATTTTTCTTGACTATGTCTTGTTGAAATGTACATGGGACTCAGCCCCTCTTTTGGGGGACCAAAGAAAAGAGGAAAGAGGGATCATTCCATATATTCCTGTTTTTCTTGATCTTTTGAGGAGGGTGGGACCTCCCCTCCCCTGCTCCCTAACATTGAGCCCATCAGACATTTTTGCCATAAAGGGCAGTATGATCAGATCAAGGAACCACCCAAGGCTGAAAGAAGTTTGTTTATGGCCTCCAGTTAGCTGTGGAAGTGAGCAGTCCAGGGCATCCTGAACTGACAAAGCAGGGTAAGGAGGAAGCCTACTTTTCCAATGTAAATGTATCCCCCAGACCTAAGCCAAGATCAGTGGTGTGGACTCCGGAAATTTTAGTGAAGAGATGGTTTGGTAGAGAACATATGTCAAAAAATAGAACTGGGAGAGGAGATTGGGTGAGTTTGATAGTATTAGAAGGGGCTCCAGAAGAGGCTGAGATGAAATCTCTGTTCTTGCAGTTTAGTGAGGGAAGGAAGAGCCAACAGCAAGTGACTGTGAGTTGGACATGAGTTGGAGATGTGTCTGATGTTGACCAGTGTCCAGGGAGCTCGAAAGACTTAAGCACATCTCTGTGAAGTGGGAGGAACTGAGCTCTGTGAATTGCTGGAATTCAGTGGCTCAACTTTGGTGACAAGTTATACCAGCAAAAGCAGGCTCTTAGGGTCCCAGTAACCTCCTCCGCCATTCTTTTTTTCCCTCTCACCTTCTTTAGCTTTATGCTCCTAGCTGCCCCTTGGGAGTCCTCCGAGCTTTTATTGTGGCTTGGAGAACTAAGTGCATCATAGGGCAGAATGTGGCAGATGGGATTGGCTGATGGGGACTTCCTTGGTCTTGATTTAGCTTATTGCAGACACACTGATGCAGCATGGATATCTTGGAAGGGTAAATCCCAACACTGGTACGAAAAGCATTTGGAGAACCACTATTATATTCCTTATGTGTGCACACAGAGCTTCAGATACAGCCATGCTCCGGGTGAATAAGTCTGGTACCTTCTAGAAAGAGAGAAAGAAATAATTATAGATGTGGATGTTGTGAATTCCTCTTTCGAGAGGTTTTCAGGAAAGGATGCAGAATTCTTCTGGGTGGCCAGTGCTACTAGTATTTGACGTTGCCACTTGAAGTTTAATCTGTTTTTAAGATGGTTCTTTGACTGCATTCCTCTTCCTTTCATTCTTTTCCATTTTCTACCCCGTTGTCTGTTCTCACCCGTCTGATGATTACCCAAAAAAACCGATGCTCTTCTTCTCACCAGTGTACTCTCTTCCTTTTCCTTATTCCTTCAACATAAAGGAGGCTTCTGTCTGGTTTCCACTGAATCTTGATAATTTGTTTTTGATGCCCATAAATAGGCGTGGAAATATTTATGTATGTTGTGTGTACACCACCTATACACATATGTTATCCTCTTGGTCCTCATAACTCATATTAATGTTGGGAAAATACAGGAGAACCTAGCTTCTCCGAGATGTTCCCTAACCATTGCTAGATTAATTAAGTGCATGCAATTTCGCATACATGTGGCTGTCCAGTGCTTTTGCATGCCGACTTTGTCATGTTTCTGAGGATGGGCCTGAAAATAAATGAATGGGACACAACTTGAACATGAAGCTGATGGAGCAGCCTTGCTGGTCACAGTGTTACTGCTTGTTTAAGCTTCCACATTGTATGTTTGTTTTGTGCTGCCTCCTCAGGATGTTGCGATGCTGCTGCCTTTACTGTTGTGAGTTTCTGTTTTGTGTGTTTTCCGTCTCTTGGTGTGTCTGCAATGTGCTGATGTTTGACTCTCCTTGCTCTCTCTCTCTTTGTCTCTCTCCCTCTCTCCCCGCCTCCATGGTGGACACCATGCTTCCTCTACTTAATTGGACCTTCACTTCATTTCTGTAGGTAGAAGTAAAGGTAGAGCTCACTTTATTTATTTATTTATTTTTATCATTGTAACTGTCAATCTGCCTTTTGAAATATTCATGCATCCAAGAGGATTGTCGATTCTGAATACAGTCCAGATTATAAATTAATGCTTTTAACAATGATTGAAAAATAAGAATAAAAATCAAAAGCCAATGCTATCATCTCCCTTCAGTGCACTTCATGTTCAGTGTTTGGGGATGATTCTGTGTTGGCCTGCCTCCGTCTAAACTGAGGGTGGGCCTTCTGCATGATCTCGTACTCTTTCTAGCAGGAACAGGGGACTCTGAAAGTGGTTACGCAGTGTGGGGAAGATACAGGTTACTTCCATGCAGGGTGCTCTAAGATCCCCTCCCAGTAAATGTATTGAGGGAACAGGGGAAGTATGAAATTATGTATCATTGTTGCTATTACTTGGAATAACTGAATTTGGGGATAACATCGGTGGGGGAAGGATGATAGACGAGAAAGGGAGAGGACTGGTGAATTGCCCGAAATTTTATTTAATGTGGAATTGGGGGGGATATATATTTATTTCTTTTTTTCCTGTGTCATATTTCCTGTATATGTGGGATTCAGAATTTTCTGATGGGGTGATGGTCTCAGAAGGGTGGGAATGGGAGGGTGTGAAAGAATATAGGAATGAAAATGTGTTACAGAGTCAGGAGGAAGAGGAGAAAGAGATAACGTAGGATTTTAACTTACAAAGCCAGCCTTTTGCCAGGTGGGCAGAGAAAAGGACAGGGGCCGAGCGAGTGAGCTCGCGCCGCCGACACTCTGGCATGCCTTTCATCACGTCACACCTTTGGGTAACTCATCCATTTCTTATCAAAGCTGTCAGACACCCAAGCCTAGAGAACCTGGCTCACCAGCTCAAATTGGATTAGTTGTTTCGGAGTGAAGGGAGAGGTTAATTGATAAATTATAAATATGTATCTGCATCTAGTCTTCCCTGGTACCTTCCTAACTCTCCAGCCCCTATCTCAGTGGATCTGTGTACTGTCTCTTCCTTCAAGGACTGGCAAGTAACCAAAGTAGGAAATGTGTTTTCTGCCATGAGGATGTTGAAAAAAAAAAAGGAGCTGACAAGTTATTGAAAACGTGGATTCAGTGACGCGTCTGAACTGGCTATCTCTTATTGAGTTTTATGCTTTTCTGGGTCTTTGAAAAGTTATGTGTGGTTGCCGTGGAGGCAGTTCAGTCCTTTCCACTGTGGGATTGGTTGATTGTCTGTTCCTTTTATGCTAATCCCAGGTGGCTTTATTCTCAGAAATCTGTCATGGGGAACCCTTACCCCATTGCTAAGTTGGTATCTTTTGAAAGGAGGTGGGCAGGAAAGTGGGGAGAGGAAGAGGAATAAATGATTAAAGGGCTACATCTGGCTGTATGGTCACCATTCCGCTGATTCTGCTCAGTGGAAGGCTGCCAGTGACCTCATCATAGGCAAAGCCACCAGTCTGCTGAGGACTCAACTTTTCTGATGCATGCGGCACTGTTGCCTCTTCCTTCTCTCACTGGCTCCTATGACAACAGATTAGAGTCAGTCTCCGTCTTTCTCCTCGTCTTTCCCTAATTCCCTACAGCATCCTATAACATAGGTGTTTTGAGTGTTTTTTAGATTTTGCACGTATTTTATTTTCTTGCTCTGAGTCACTGCTACCACCACTACTAGCAGCTGCTAAAACTTGCGGAGGCCGGGCGCGGTGGCTCACGCCTGTAATCCCAGCACTTTGGGAGGCCGAAGCGGGTGGATCACAAGGTCAAGAGATCGAGACCATTCTGGTCAACATGGTGAAACCCCGTCTCTACTAAATGTACAAAAATTAGCTGGGCATGGTGGCGCGCACCTGTAGTCCCAGCTACTCGGGAAGCTGAGGCAGGAGAATTGCCTGAACCCAGGAGGCAGAAGTTGCGGTGAGCCGAGATCACCCCATTGCACTCCAGCCTGGGTAACAAGAGCGAAACTCTGTCTCAAAAAAAAAAAAAAAAAAACTTGTGGAGCGCTCCTCACGCACCAGCCATTGTACTATATGCTTGATGGGCTTGCCATACTTAACGCCACAACACATCTGTGAGGTAGGTGGTGGCATTCTTGTTTTATGAATAAGAACGATAAGACTCAGAGTCAGATCATGTAAGTCAATGACTACTAAATGAGAATCAAACCCAGAACCTGTGCCCCTAACCCCCACTCTATACTGCCTCTCTCAGATGCAACGGTGACCTCCATGTTTAAGCCTTCTAGCTATAGTCTGCACTGACCTGTCGTAAGTTCCAGCCTACCGCTTTGCATTCTCTGTAACACACGTCTATGTGAATGCCCCAGTGAGGGAGGCACTTCCGTAGGCTCAAAGTCAACCTTCAAATCATCTGCCCACAAACCAGCTTCCCTTTATGATGTCTCCCTTAATGGAGTCGATGCAGTTCCCAACACCCTTATCACCAGGTATGAAACCCAGGAATTACTTTCTACCATTCTCCTTTCTGAACCTTCCTACTCCCAGGCATTTGGTAGAGACAGAGCTTGTTGAGACTTTCCTCCAAATGTCTCTTGCATCTCTGTCAGCTCCCTGAATCAGTTTCCAGTTAGCATTTATTCAGTTATTGCCCTCTCCTAACTCGTCTTTCTGCCTCTATTCTCTTCTAGTCTGTCCAGTGGTTGAGAATTGCTTAAACTCTGCTGCCCACCAAATGGAATGCAGGATTAGCGATCTCACTTTCAAAGCCTTCCCCCATATGGTCCTGCTTACCTTTATCCTACTCCCCTGTTAAGCCTAGCTACAAAATTGCTGCTCCGGCCAAGTGGAATACCAAATAACTTCACTAGAATTTCTTCATCTCTTACCTTTGCTTATTCTGTTTTTCTACCTTTTCACAGTCCCACATCCCCCTTTTTCTGCCCATTGGAAAATACATATATTTCACTTCTTATGTGATATTTTCCTTGACTCCTCCATTCAGAGTTGGGCTCTTCCTCCACGGACTGCCCTAACAATTTATATGCAAGTTATTTGGGAGCTGGACCACTCCCTCTACTAGACTGCACATGAGTTGAAGACAAATGTATTTGTTTGTTAACATCCAGATGTGTCTAGCATAGTGTGTTCCATGCAGAAAGGACTCAAAATCTCTAATCCTTCTTATCCTGCTGTCGTTTATCATCCTAAAAGTGAAAAGAAACCAAAATTAAAATTAAATAGGGTCATGTAGCTCATCTGTTTAAAAGCTTTGGGTAGATTCTTGTTGTATAATTGTCAAGGTGCCATCCCCGCTTTATGTTCAGTGGGCATAACCCCCTGCCCACCATCACCCCTGCCAGCTCTCCCATCTTCAAAAGTCCCCAAGTCACTCTGCTTGCATCCTCACTGTGTTCTCCTGCCTTCAGACTTCCGCTCAAGCTCCACTCTCTTTCTTGAATGTCCTTGAACATGCTTCTCCCTCTTATCCTTCAAGATCCAGGGCTCCTAGGTCTGCCAGACTTTGTGCTGTGTTATAAGGTACCTATGCCAAACTGCCTTGAGTCATATTTACTCATGTGTTTCAATCCACTCCCTGCAACCTGTCCCACAAAAGACCAAGGCTGTGTCTTTGCCCTCTCTGTCACTCGTTCTACACCAGCTCCGTACTATGGTCAGAGTTGTACTTGATGAATGCTTACAAAATTAAGTAATGGCTTAACTGAATTAAACAATTGATTTTAGATATGGGAGGAGGGGAGATGGACAGGATTAGATTGTCAACACTGGTGTTATTAATGGAACCACTCCACTTACGAACGTATGCCCCTTATCACAACCCTCATGACCCCAAAGCAATGAGCAAAGGAGCCCCAATAGGCCATGAAGTGAGACCACATGTTCTGGCTCCAGTTTCCTCCTCCCTACGGCCTTTTCTTGACCCTGTGTGTGCAAGTGTCAGAGGGAAAATGTTATAGATCACACCAGAATAAATGTGGAGAAGGTCTTGAATTTATTCTTAGATGTTGGTCAGAGAAAAGAAGGAATATGCCTCAGTTGCTGTCATTCTTTTAAAGCTGAGCGATGAAGTAGTAAACCCATAATGAAGAGAATTGTGAAGTTAAATCTACAAAACCGAGCAGGGTGGGTAGGCTATAACAAAACCCACTCTGTTCAGGAAGCCGTTGGCAGGACATGGCCAAAAACAGGCTTGAACTTACCTGGAAGAGGCTCACCCAGAGGACTTCAGCCAACAGCCTTGATCAGCTGTTTTGACAGCTACTGTTTATGTGTTGAGAGTGTATTTTGGCCTCCTACCCCTTCTTCTAGTCCGTTTGGGGGTTGCTTGTTCTGGAGAGGTTACCAAATATCTTCCCTTAAAACTGAACTCAGGGCAGGGGTCACAGACTTAAAAGCCTGATTAGTCTTATGAAGTAGACCTAGGGATAAGTAGTGTCCTGGTGTAAGAGAAGCAATAGGTCGTGGTGGGGATCATGGCAAACTGGAGAGCGCAAGATCTGTCAAAGACAGCAGCCTCCACTCTGCTCCAGCTGATCGCTGCCACACAAGGATCCAGGTACAGTCACCAGATGCTCAAGAAAAGCCAGAAGTGTATGTGATAAAAGTGTCATCTAAAGGTATCTTCTCCTCTGTATGTACATATGAACACACACACAGGTGTGCACCTGCGTGCCAGACGATTTGGTGCATGAGCCATAAGTTTTTGACCTTTGGCTTGAGAAGAAGGGAGGTGAAAAAGATTCCGTTGAGATTTCTTACTGGATGTCAACAATGGGAGGTAGTTTGATTAATTTTCTTTGTCCGTGGCTGTGATCAGGGTACCAGGAATCCTTCCTACCCTTGGCATGCCATAGGAGAGGATGGTCTATGTGTTTGTTACAGCTGATTTGGTAGAGTGGTGTGGGAAAGTGTGAGAAGGGTATGGAGAACGCAGAGAATGACTTGGGAGAGTGGTATCTGACATCTTCAGTAATGGCCAAGAACTGATTTTTAAACCTTTAGCACAGCTGGGTT